CCAGCTCGAGTCCGGAACCCTGTCTGTCCAATGCCTTAGAACGTCCACCAGACGGGAAAGGCGCTTTGCAAATGTAACTTTGTTGTTGTCATGGATTTTCAACATCCATCTGAACAGGCAGACAGGACATTTCATCTGACAATGCATCACTCCCCTAGTACTGTATTGGAATGTCGGCCTAGATCATGATGTGGGACTGGAAATGACCTATAACAACAACAACTTGCATTTATGAAGAACTGTCACGTGGTCAGTGTCTCGGAGCACTGATCTGGAGGAGAGAGTGCTACCAATCAAGTCAAGCTGACTGTAGATCACAGGTGGCTTTGGATTGCCTTCCGGTTCATTGTAAACCACTAAAAAACACTGCTTGCAGGGCATATGAGACCCCCACCATGAAAAATATGTAATTAGAGTGTCTCGGGACTTCAGTGAGATGAAATGAACAACTTTCACCAACATATGTCCAATCAGGTGAGTATGCAATGCTCTTTATTTACAAGTCACAGAAGTACAGTACTTTACATTGAAATAACCCGCTCCTCAGTCTTCCACCCTCCTCCATCTCCCTTCCTTGTACACATTGTAGTCAAACATCACTGTACCTGATTAATACCAATCTGACGCTGCTAAAGCCCCTCTGTAAAACGTCTTTGTTGTTAATGATAATGAATAAGTGCAACACATCACAGCAGGTTCATATGTGGTGGAACATTGGAGGCTGATTTGTCACTTGTGTGTGTTGCATGTAATTTGCCACTGGTTATTCAGTCTAATGGGGAATGAGTCGTGCCACCTGCACAGAAGCCCCCACCTCACACCGTCTGTATTAGTTCAAGAGATATCCAATGCTGCGAGGTAAAAAAAATGCGCTGTGTCCTAATGGAGTCAATGTGATATCTACCACGTTTTGACACAGTTGGATTCCCCCTTAATGTCTGGCAATCACCTATTGTTTCTGATCGTGGAGATGGTGTTTCACTACCACTTAGAGTGGAGCTGCAGTACAGTGCCCCCTCTCCACAGTTGGATGGATCAATAACAACACAAAATTATTGCACCCAAACAATGTAGCAAAGTCATATGGGAGGAAGTATTCACACCCTAAACAGTTGATGATTAATATCCTAAATCCTGATTTTTTTTTACAGATTAATGATTATCACATCAAACCTGTTATTTTTTACCCCGACAAGTGTAGGTCAATGATAATAATAATAATCCTTGCATTTGATATAGAGCCTCATCAAGTCTTCGAGATGTCTCAAAACCCTTCACAGAACATACTGTAAAGTGAATTGACTGTATATTTTGAGGGCAAAAATGCAGCAGCTAATTACACACAATGTTATCATTGCCTGTTTGTAGGACATTGCTGTGCGCAAATTGTCTGCCGCGTAAGCCCACAAAACTACAATCACTCCACTTTACAGTAAAATATTCTGTGAAGTGCTTTGAGACGTCCTCCTGAAGTGAAAGGTGCTATATCAAATGTAAGGATTATTATTATATTATCTCTGCTTCCTCCCCGAAACTCTCAACATATGGCCCTGGATGACTTTATAATATTATTGGAGAGTTGGTAATGCAAATGGCTCTTTTAAGAGAATTTAAAACAAAAAAATTATTATGATGAAATGCAGGCAGAATTCTGAAATTTAGCGTTAGTTATTATTGGCTCAATGGAATGCCATGGTGTGAACCAGCTTCCTCATTCTCCTGTTGGGAGTAACATCACTTTTCTCCCAGCGGTACACAATATTACACTTAATCTAGGTCCTCATTAGAATCTGCTTCATAAGGTGAACTTTGCAGGCTTTCATAATGTATTCTTTGTGATAATTACTGAAATCTTATGAAACAAAGCAAATTTCACACTTTATCATATACCGTATAAATATTGGTAAAACACATGTTGGGCAGCAAAAAATGTTGCATAAAGTATCTCATTGGTTTATTTAAGTCGGATGCGGAAGCATTCCTCTCCATATTGGGATTATTTAGAAATTTCTTGAAGAGGTGAGATTTGTGGCATTTCATAATGCGGTCCACAAAGATAATTCCCACCCGAAGCACATCATGAAATCTCACAAATTTCATCCCTATAATGCACATGCTGAGCAGCAAGAATGTTACATAAAATGATTTGTGACTCAAGATCACATCCTAGACATAATAATATTCCTCAATTTGACATAGCGCCTTTCACACCATCGAGGTATCTCAAAGCGCTTCACAGGATATACTGTAAAGTGGATTGATTGTCTATTTTGTGGGTGAAACGCAGCAGCCAGTTGCATACAGCAGTATCCCATAAACAGCCATGGATTGAGTGACCAATTTTATTTGGGGGATTGTTGGCCAGGACACCGGGCGAAACTCCCTTCTCTTTACAAGTCATGCCATGGGATCTTTAAGGTCTACCTGAACAGGCAGTCAGACCTCGGTTTAACATCTTACCTGAGGGATCTCCAACTATGCAACAACCCCCCAGCACTGCATTGGAGTGTGTGACTATGCGATTTTAAATCCCAACGTGGGGCTTGAACCCTTTAGACTCAGAGATGAGAGTGCTACCAACTGAGCCAGGCTGACATGCACCCTGCGCAGACTGCACTTTACAAAAGAAGGGAACACTAGTGATGCCTGATGCGCAGGAAATGACACCAGCAGGCCTTCCTACACATAGCACAATGCATGGTGCGCAGGAAGTGATTTCAGCAGCGACCTGATAGGACTCACACGGCCATTTTTTGCATCCCAAACCATGTTACAACAAAGTTTCCTTCTGTTAGCTGTTTTTTTAATTAAATTTAGATGAGGGAGCAGTATTAAACAGGACAGCAGGGAAAGGACATCATGAGCTGTAAGGCCGAGGCCAGATTGATTTATGCCAAGAGTGAGATGCAATCATGATGCACACGTGTAAACAAGGCTTTCATTTCCTTGTGGGCATTTTGTTCTGTGTTTGATCCCAGCGGCAAAAACTCCAGGTGCCACAACCCTGGTGCACAATGACATTCATAAAACGATATGAATGTCTTTCGATGTCAGCAACGGGGCTTTAAAAGGTTATCTGTGGTAAATGATGAGGATTTAGCAGAGTCCATAAATATCTGAGATGATTACAACATGCCATGGCTCCAGGCTTAGCGAAGTCACATTACAGAGTAAGCAATCCATTACCGGGGCTGGCACAACAAAGTATTACTTATTGAACCATCATTTGTGCTAAATCAAGGACACAGCACAAAGCCAATACCCAATCATGCATCCGACTCACTCCTTAGTCATGAATATCAAAAAGGGCAAGCAATCTCTTAGAGCAGAACACCTCATCCTCTCATAGCAACATCCAATGTCAGTGATGTAATGGAGCAATGTAGGCAGCCACTGAGCATGTGACAATACCCGTGGCATTTGCAGTGGAGACCTCAGCTAGAGACCTCAGCTAGACTCCTCAGTACAGATCTCAGGTGCACAGACTAGACTGTGGAGTCCCGAAGCTCAGTGGTTAGAGCACTAGCCTCGCAAGCGAGAGGCCTGGATTCGTTTCCTGGGAGGATGAAACCTTGGGCAAGTTTCCTTACTCCACACGCCTGATAATAATCCCTCAAGAAAATAAATAAATAATAATTTGGTCACTCAATCCACGGCTGTTTGTGGGACACTACTGTGCACAATTGGCTGCCGTGTTTCACCCACAAAATATACAGACAATTCATTTTACAGTATATTCTGTGAAGCGCTTTGAGACGTCTTGAGGATGTGAAAAGCTCTATATCAAATGCAAGGATTATTATCAGAGGCAGGACCCCTCTCCTCACCCACTCCACTGCTGCTGCAGGGTTAAACTTTTATTTCTTGGAGAACAGTTTCTAGGAAAGGATGATAGATGGAAACTGAAATCTCATTCCACATCCATTCCACATTCTCGTAACAACAACAAATTATAATTTGTATAGCGGCTTTCGTGTTGGGAGGATGTCCCAAGGCGCTGGACAATCAGTGTTTCAGACCCGAGCTGTGGGTCGGGATCAGGAGGGGTGGAGGGCAGGGAGGGTAGTGGTAGGAGAGTTCTGTTCAGTGAAAGAGAGAGATTATTTTTAATCTCACTTCAACTGATTTAGTAACATTATGATTAGGAACCCTTGGTTAGATCCTGTCACGAGAGGGAAGAATCATCTATATTTAATTTATGCTTTGTCGTTCTTCGATAATACTAATATAAAGATACAGTCATTCTACAAGATAAAGCCATTCTACAAATGTCAATCAAACAAAAGATATATAGTGCAGGAGGCAGCAAACCTAAGCAGAAATGTCAAATTGTTGTGTAAATATGTTGATTTAAAAATAACAGTCCACACAGGAGCAGAACTAGCCAGTAACTGGAACAGCCAGCAGTGAGAGCCAGTGGCAGAAGCCATGCATTATTATTGGCTATAGAGACAACCTGGTGATATAAAGCTTCACATTTCTTCCTTGTGCTGCAGCACGCAGTGACCATCCTGGCTCCTGCGAAGTCCACTGTGGGTGCCTGGAAAGTATAAGGGCTCCCTGTTTGGTATGGAGCACTGTCTCTGGAAAGTACTTCAGGATATTATCCTACGGGAAAGGTTCTATAAAGGTGCTGGCTGGCATTTTGATCCCTCAATGCCCACTCCTCTCCCCCTTCTTCCCCATTTTCAGATCATACCTGAAACCTTCCTCTTCAACCATGCTTACGGTCACCTCGTCCCTCCTCCCGGCTCGGCATCAGGTACCGTCACTGTTAAGCATTCTAAGACACTACCCTACATGAACGGTGCTATAAGAATGCAAGTTGTTGTTGTTAGTTGGTATTTTGCTTTGCTTGGGCTGTTCTGTAGATCCTGTATTGCGGCTTTGAGGAGAAAGTCCAGATATCTTTCTGGCTTGGGTTTTGCCCCTCTCACCTTTGTACAACTTGGGCTTTACCTGAGTGGATGTTAACACTGGCTTTTCCTTTCTGTTTTCAGAGTGAATCATGAGTAAAGTAACGGAATGCTGGAGCAGATGATACCATGAAGAGAAGCTCACGGGTCCTCTATCGCCAACTGCTTAGTAAGAGCTACAGCTATTTTTCTTTGTATATTTCCCTTTTGTGGGAGGAAAAACAAATTATTTTGCAGCAAGCATGAAACGGGCAGGGGATCAGTTTTCTAAAGATTGGATTGGTGACATGGTGAAGGTACAGTGTTACTGGGTTACTGTCACTGCCGCTACCTGATCACCAACCAGCTCCGAGGTTATGTCAGTCTGCGGTTACACAAGGCATGATTTTACTTGTTCTCGGCTGGTCTCAGCTCTTTTCAGTGAACAGCTGAGGATGGGTCTCAGTAAGGTAGCGCTCAGCCTTATGGAGAAACCCGACTCTGTGGTTAGCTGCAACACCATGCTGATCTAGTGAACTTTTCTGAGAATTCCCAGGGTATTTCACTTAAAATGACTGCAATGCCTAATCTGGGTGGAGGTTGAAAGCTTTCCCCAGTCCCAGAGAAGTTGTACCAAAAATCCTCAGTCTGCCCTGGATGGCTCTGGAATATTTGGGTCTTGAAATACTTGGATATTTGGGACTAATTTGCAGGATTTCTTAACAGGATTCCTTAATCTGCCTTGTTTTCCCCCTGAATTATACACTTTGCAGTATATTCTGTGAAGCGCTTTGAGATGGCTCAACGGCATGATAAGGTGCTATATCAATTGCAAGGATTATTATAGTTAGTTACCTCAATCTGTGAGAACGCCACTCAAATCCCATTGGATCTGCTTCAAGACTGGAGCTACTATGGGACAATGGAAATTTAAATGGAATTATTTACTAAAGAAATCTGTTTAAAACTACCTTACTCAATCAGTAATACTAGCATCCATGAATCAGAGATTATGGGTTCAAACCCCAAAGAGGGACTTTGAGCTCACAGTCTAGGCTGTCTTTCCAATGCAATCCTGGGGTGTGTGCTGCACTGTCTGAGGTACCGTCCATCCTTCAGATGAGACATTAACCAAGGTCCCAGGTTTTCCAGCCAAGAAATCCCCAAATAGAATTGGTTGCTCGCTTTATGGCTGTTTATGGGACATTGCTGTGTGAAAAATAGCGTTGAATTTGTCTCTAAAAGACAATCACTACACTTCACAGTAGGACCTGTGAAGTACTTTGAGATGTCTGCCTGATGTGAAAAGCATTACATCAAACCAAGGATTATTACATTCGACCAGGGCTGGATTAAGGGATTTGGGGCTCCAAACTAAATCACATTTGGGGGCTCATCGTAGAAAAGGGAGCACCGGATTGTGTAGGTCATCAATGCCAAAAAGCATAAAAAAATGCACAAAGGCACGACCCCGACTTCCCGTATCAGTATCATCTGAACCCTGGCACCGCCTGCAGCCCCCGGGCTCGTGTACCCATTAGCATCTTTGCGGGGGCAGTGACTTTCCTCTGCTCCAGGCTCCTGGCATTCCCACCGTGGTAGCTTGCACAAGACCACAGTGAATGTCTGCGCCTATGCTGGGCGGAAGAGCTTGTGTGTAAGTACCTATAAGGCTAATGTGCAGCTGCACAGTCGATTCCGGGGGACATGGTGCGGCTGGTGCGGACGGCAGCTTTCACTAAATCGGGAGCCATTTTCACAAGGGCGCTTGGAAACCATTCACAGGAGCACTCCGGAAATTTCCTGTGGCGATATCCTGTGGAGTCCTGTAGCTCAGTGGTTAGAGCACTCGCTTTGCAAGTGAGAGACCTGAGTTCAATTCCAGGCAGAGCGAAACCTTGGGCAAGTTTCCTTACTCCACACGCCTAATAATAATCCCTCCAAAACCCCCCAAAAAACAATAATAAATTGGTCATTTTCAATCTACGACTGTTTGTGGGACATTGCTGTGTGCAATTGTCTGTCGCGTTCGCCCACAAATATACAGTCAATTCACTTTACAGTGTGTTCTGTGAAGTGCTTTGGGACGTCCTCCCGACGTGAAAAGCGCTATATCAAATGCAAGGATTATTATTATTATTATTATATCCATATCCTGGGCCCCTCAGATCTCGAGGCCCTAAACCGTGGTTTAGTTGGTTAATCGGGGCCCTGCAACCAACTGCTACATTTTGCTCATGAGGAATCGGCTGGGTCACTCGTCAAACAAACCTGAAGCACGGGGACAGTCAGCACTAGACTGTGGGATAAACAGCCACTTCATCAAGATCCAGAATGTATTGTTTTTGCTCCAAAACCAGACAATGGCCTTAATAAGCCACTTGTGTGTTATTGAATCATCACCACTCAAGCATCTATAAATAGTTTCTCACTTTTTTGACAGACACTCCATTATCCCACACAGCACATTGCAGAGTGCTCTGGGATGTTTGTAGTGACCCTGGATGACTGAGTGAGCAAGGTTTGTGTGATGAATGTCTGTCATTTGTAGGGAAATAAAACCAAACACTTCTGAGTGGTGTTTGCTGGCCTGAACTCCGCAGGCATCTGGGTTAGTTCTCCAAATATTCACTTGAGAAGAGTGAGGATGAGAGTAGCCAGCAGCAAGCCAGAGTGATTAAAACTGTGGAGGGGAGAAAGTGTGCTGAAGGTATTTCAGTTCTATTGGGCTCCATGTTACTCTTTAAATTTGTTTACTGTTTAGCAGTAAGAACGAACCCAGTTGTTAGTTGATTGGCGGATCGCTTTTCTGGGGGTAATAATCCTACTATTCACAATTGGCTGCCGCGTTTCGCCCATAAAATACACAGTGAATCCATTTTGCAGTATATTTTGTGAAGCGCTTTGAGACATCTTATCTTATCAAATGTAAGGATTATTATTATTAAATCACCACCCTGGAGTATTCATCATGATTAGACAATTGTATCCCACGAGGAATAAAAATAAACCTAATCGTTTCAGAACTCTTTAATCCAATGTCTGTTATCATTAGGCATTGAATGGGATCTCAGGAGGTATTTGAATAAGGTAATATATAACATGATAAAGATAAAGCAGTGCTAGAGCATATGTAAAAACATGTGCTGGACAAAGAGGAAGTAGAGACTCCCAGCAGATCCAGAATCCTGTGTTTCAGGAATCCCATCAGATCCATTACACAGGATTTCAATTCCTAGCTGAAATTCTGACTGAATTTCTGTTTCTACCCAGAGAAACTGGAGCTATTTTAAGCACTCTTACTGATGTACTGCCAATATCCAGGAAACTTAGCACTGACCTAGGATTGAACCTGGGATACTCTATATAACTCAGTTGGACATGAGATGGTAACTTTACCAACTGAGCAGTGAGAGGAACACAGTGAAGGCCGAAGTACTCTGATTGATCTCATTAGGGAATAGGGATACATTTATGAGATTTCATAACGTTCAGTTGTGTAATGCAATGAAATATGTTATGAAGCAGTAGAATTTCAGTTGATAATTATTGGACTAGTTTCAGGTCTCACATAGTCATATGCTGCATTTGTCAGAGGTACCGTCCTTCAGATGTGTCGTTAAACTCGGGTCCCATCTGTCTGTTCAGGTAGACATTAAAGATCCCATGAGCACCATTGGAAAACAGAAGGGAGTTTTTCCCTGTGTCCTGGCCCAAAATCCTCCAGATAAAATTTGTCATTCTTTCCAGTCCTATTTGTGGAATATTGCTGTATGCAAATTAGCTGTCACATTCGCCTGCAAAATACACAGTCACTGCACTTTACAGAAAAACGTTGATACAGCGTTAAAACATTTCAACAGTTTAGGCACTAGATTAGTTATTATTACTATAATGTGGAGAATGGTAACTGGTGTGTGACCAGAATATCTCCACAATCATTCATGGCCTCTTGGTTGCTACTGCCACCTTTCCTCTCCTTTCCCATGAATATAAATTCTGTGTCAAATTAACTTAAATGCCTTTGGGGAGGTTATGATAATAATAATAATTAATACTGTAATACTAATCCTTGCATTTGTTATAGTGCTTCACAGTTAGTTACGGTTAAGTGAAGTGACTGTGTAGATGTAGGCAAACACAGCAGGCCAATTTGCGCACAACAATAATAATCACCTTTGTTGTAAAGCCTTTCATATTGGGAGGATGTCTCAAAGCACTTCACAGAATATTCTGTAAAGTGTAAACAATGTACAATAAACAGCCAAAAGGTGAATGACAATTTGTTGGCGGATGCATTGGCCCGGATACATTCACTATGCTGAGGAGTTTGTATTAAGAATTAAGAATTATTGCCACGTGGGTTGTCGAGGACCATTTTAACCTAGGTTTTAAGAGAAATTCTTTATAGCTGAAGGCTATATTTAAACAATGCTCACCCCTTCTCCCTGGGGTCCTCAAAGCTCCTCAGTATTAGAAAATCATTCCAACAATTGTATACAAAACCCTTGCCATGCACTGCAGCTGTATCTTAGAAACCATGGCTGCTAAATCAAGTTTTGACAGGAAACTATATTGAGCCTTTTATTATAATCTGGAGCTATAATTTAACTACACATAAACAAGTGTTACTGTCAGTCAGTGTTAGGTGCACCTCTGAGAGTATTGGGAATTAAGAGGGCATGAGGCTGAAACATCATTTGACTACAAATTAAAAGTCATATTTAGCTGAAATGTGCAGAGCTATTTATAGCGTCCAGGAGCATTGCTGCGGGAGTGAAACATCAGCCTTCAATAAATCATCCGCTCAGGTCTGAAAACGCTTGAGTTATGGTCAGTTATTCTATTTTGGAGAGTTTTAATCACCATGCACTTTAGCACTATTCCTGCAAGTTTGGATCATGTAAACGTTAGTCTCTATGGAGTTCAGGCACTTGTTGCCGGACACGAGATTTTCAATTCACTGTACTGCTTTCCTAAGTACAGCATAGCCACTTTATACCATAAGGTAAATTCCAGATTAGTGGATACATGACATGTGCAGCATGTCATCATGGCCCTAATGTGAAGCAAATATCTTTTTGTGTGGCTTGCCATACTCAAATACAGTGGGTTTATTATTTGCTATGTGTAAACCATGAGTAAACGCACCTATATTATGCACCACATATGAGCACACATGTGCAAAGA